GTGCCTAAAGTATGCTTATCGTATAAAGCATACGTCCAATACGCACAAAATTTTTGAACATGCTTAAAAAAAATGTTCTGCCTCGGCGTATGCCAGCGTATGCCACCGTATGCGACCGTGCTTGAAACGTATATAACCTATGCCTAGCGTACCCCTAGCGTATGTCAGCGTATACCGGCGTATGAGTGATATTTTTCATACGCTGGCATACGCTAGTACGATACGCAATAGTGTGACAGGGCCTTTAAGTTAGATAAGCAATCCCTTTTTAATCTTAACCAAACATTTTAAACAAAATTTTGTGTATAACACTGTTTTGAGAGCGTTCGAAAATAATGCTGACGTCAGCAACATAACGTTTCAGACGGCCGAAATGTAGCGGAATATTCAAAATATTTCGTAAACAATTGCTGGAAGATATACAAAACACATAAAATAACTAGCCTTGTAACTTAGGTTTTAATATTTTGTGGTTTCAAGTGAAACCGACCTGTTTCGTGGCGTGCATCTGTGATCCAAATTTGCCCCCATTAGCGCGTTCCCCAATTTCACCCTAGATATACCCCCTCTAGTGTTATTTATAATCTCTTTGGCCAGGCGTCCAGGCCTGTGCCAGACCTCTTTGCGTTTTGCATGTTATTTATGAATTTTTGCTTCAAACAGTAAATACCCTTGTCAGACCATAGCCGGAAGCCCATTTAATCATAATACGTAATATTAAATTAACTATAACTACCCATGACTGATTTTTCTCAAGATTTTGTGAATCAAAAGCAAAATCGTCAAGACAAATTGCTATGCTACGTTCACTCGAGACCGGACGAATTTCTGACCGTCCTCAAATTCGTCCGGTTCCACCTTGTTCACAAGGGGATTCGTACGAGTAACTGTGAACGGGGTCAAACGTTATATTAAGCCGGATATATAGTTTGCACAAACAATATTATATTATATTGAAGAACACTCATGCAATTTAATATAACGGCCTGGAGTGGTATTATGAAAAGAAACATAACCTTTGCGCTCAATAAATGACATGTAGCATTAGGTATGGTTGAAGAAAGGTAAACAAAAATGAAATTGACATTTTTGTAATAACTAATACTAAGCACAAACACAATGTGAGCGATATTATATAGTGATTATTGACAAATAATAATTCTGAAATAAATGCAAAGAAAAACAGTCTTACGACTTAACGACTTAAGGTGGCTCCATACACTTTTCATCATCCGGAGACTGGTACCTAATCTTGAGTTTTCGCGCGAAAATATTACAAATATATGCAAAAATAAATACAACTTTTTCAGTCTAAAATCCGAACCACAAATCATGTTTATTTTGATGTTTCGAGTCACTTGTTCTCAAAGAACAAACTTCGTCCTGATTTAGCCCTGAACATTGAATAGCTAGTCGTTTTAGAAGACATTTTAAGGTAAAAAATGCAATGTTTATTAAACGTTCGAACTCTTGTGAAAACCGGCGATCGGCCCGACCGGCGAAACGTTTTTTACTCCAATATTTGGCGATTTATAAGTTCATATCCAGAGTTTTTTTTACTTACAACTGGTAAATGTACTCAAAGTGTCACTAACAGCAAAGGAATCCAGTCAAACAGCATCATACGCCGGCTCAAACTGTTTTAAATTGTCAACAACAACATGAAAACACACAAGTTACGACTGAAGACGAATATAACTATGTATACAGAAGCCAAAAAGTTCATACATGCCACACATATCTTATACCAAACGACACAATCGCCTGTTTCATGGCGTTATCCCGAGTTAGCATGCAAAACTAAATATATTTGCAATCTAAGCAAGAAAACACAACATATATTTGATATTTCGACGAGACCAAAAACTTTTTTGTGCGTGTTGCCGTGTTATCCTGGAGATGCGCCTGCGAAAACATGTACCCGCATGTCAATTCATTGATCTTGCAGAGCTCCAAAAACTTTCGGCCGAGCGAGTGAGATACCACAATAAAACGGCGTAATTCAAAATTTTGCACGGTGACATGTGATGAAATTTTGCACAACGATAACTTCTTTTATTCTGGCTGTTCTAATCTACAGAATTTTTTTATTTTCAGGGATAGGATTCCTTATTATAAGTGAAAGCTATACAGCAGTTAAAAATTGGGGGTCACCGGCAATATTCGGAAAATAAAGAATAAAAACCTGCTTAAAAAAATACCATATTTGGCGAGGCTACTGTTACTATGGAAACAATATTATGTTCAAGAGTATTGCAAATTTTTTCTACCAAATACTTAATTTATACTTGGGAATGCTTAAAATTAATAGATGGAGTGATAAAATTTATAAATTGAAATTTTTACGCAATAAGGTATTTATACTACGGAACTGTATGGAGCCACCTTAAGGTTACAGAACACCTTTGAGTGTTAATTTTGCCTAAAATTTTTTTATTGGTTTCCATGAAAGCATTAGACTAGTTCTACTATCTGACCAAGTTTGGACGAAAAATGTTGAAAACTCGCAGAGTTAGTTAATAAAATACATTTCGCTTGCAATAAGAAAAACATTGAAAATGTAATATTCAAATTCAATTTTCTCCCGAAGAATTTTACGGCAATTACTGATTTTTAAACGAGTTGTGCTCCTGCGGGTTTTAACGAATTTTTCTCAAATTTTCGTCAGTTTCAAAATGGTATTCGGCTTTTTTCTAATTTTGGATATTTTAATAATAGGAGCAATTCACACAAACGATTCAGAAATATATTGCAGTCGTCAAAGAAATCGCCATATCAGCGCAATGACGAAATAAACAAAGATTTCCGAATTTTTTAGAACAACTATTTTACTGTATAAAAATGATATTTTCATAAATATATTTTAAAACCAGCAGGAATATAACTCAAAAGCGTAAAGGTACCGCGACTTAAGATTTTCCTAAATAATTCTTACATTATTTTATTGTTTGTCAATTTTACAACTTTATCATATTTTACATGCACTGGCGGACATTTGGTGAAAATTTGATGAAAATTGGACTGGTTTTGAGCGCGCAGTAGCGATTTTCCACAAAACGCCAAAAATGGTGTCCTGTAACCTTAATTCGCTTATATTCAAATCAAAAATCTTAGAAATGAGAAAGAAAACGACTAAAAATACAATAACCAACAATTTTAATTCTTAAAAATAAATATTTAAGACTATCCGGTATCCGTATCCGGGATCCGCATCCGGTATCGGTATCCGTATCCGGTGTCCGGTACCCACGTTTTCTACCATGCCTTTTAAATCAATCATGCAACTAAATCAATCAACTGAATCAAGGAAAGAATAATCGGTTTTTCTGAATTCTGGTATATTTTTGAAATATACAAGTTCGTGACATTTATGAATCTGGTCAGACCATAGATATCTTATATACACTAGATAGTGCTTCTAATTATTCTGCAATTCAAAAATTGAAGCCGTGATTGCAGTCTCAGGTCGTTCCCATGAAATGAGAAGATTCGTATGTTTTCTATTTCTTAAACAGGCAACTTAAACATTAAGTTAACCCTATTCCAAATACGTTTTTAAACTATTCAAATAATGAAAGTTAGTGTTGTTTATAAGCGTTTATTACCAAGTGGGAACGACCAACTTGGTGCCATCTATTCAAATGGGGGTAACCGCTGGAATATTCTTGGCTTCAATTTTACTAAATGAGATGCGCTATCTAGTGTATATAAGATATCTATGGGTCAGAGTGAATGAATGTGGCATAACATTCAAAAACAAAGCTCTCTCTGCAGCGTGTCAGGAAAATAACATTACGACTATATTTACAAAATTAAAGGGTTTTACTAGCTGTGGTAGTTTCTTTCATCTGAGATATATTAGTCAGAAAGAAATTGTTTACTTTTACGCCTGTCAAGAAATATGTTAATTAGCTATAAATTTTTCAAAAATCATTGATTATGGGTTATGGCCAAATACAGATTGATACCCGCAGGTTTTTCTTCAGATCGTCTGAAAATAAGTATAAGTCATTACATCCAAGCACAGTTCAGCGTAATTTTAGGTCCCCATTTGGAGATCTCAGGCTTCGATTTTAGTGTAATTTTGTAGACCGAACAAGAAGCAAAAACCGGTGTGCCGTCAAGTTGCTGTCGTTTATTCACGATTTATTCAAATGCTCTTATTTTTTGGAACAGGGAACC